ATGGTTGCCTTGGAGACAAAGCTGAAGGTTTTACTTCTAGAGAAGTATGTCCACTGTGTCAGAAAGATATCCTTTGAATGTTACATACCATCCAGTGGGAGGTTTTAACTTTGCTGAACATTGAGAGCTTTGTTGTTTATGGAGAGCAATGTTTTTAGTGTTTAGTCCAAAAGCAGCATATATGTATGATAGTTGACAGCTGTGAAGCACATATCATATAACCATATTTAAATATCATTCAGTGACGTTTAGCGTCAAAATATCACGGCCAATATGGTATGATGAACATTGAGATACTTACAGTAAAACATCATTTTATGCACATTAATTAGTACGCTGAGAATAACAAATGGTATGAACAAGTGATACCAGATGATGGATTCTTAATATCATTAAAATTAGTTCTGCATGGTCTAGCCTATGGATGATGATCTCACAAACTTCCAGTTTATGTAGTGAGATTTGTTAATATCTTTTTTGGATACATTGCATTTAGGTATAATTCCTTTTGCTGTGTCATGATTTCCTTAAGATTCTTACTATATACAAACAAGACATTACAGACAGCACACTGCATTGATGGCCATATATGGAGTAAGTGCATAGTACAATGCAGTCACATGGCTTGTGTAAATATCAATTTGAGTTGTTTATTTCACTACTTTTTCTACAAGCTACCAAGGATCATAAAATGAACACATCTCACAATATTTGTTGCCATCCCCGTTCTCTATGTGATCATTTTTCCAAATAAGTTTGTCATGATTAATAATAGAACAGGCACAATCATAGAAAGTTGTTAAAAGCATTTAAAAGATCAAATGTGGACGTGTGTTGACTATAACACTATCAGCCAGACTGCGTTAATTCGCTGTGGCTTCTTCGGGATGTGGTAGGTTGGAATCCTAAAAAAGTTTATTGCCTAAATGAAGGCTTGCTATGTTATTTTTACACCAGAGCAGTTATAAATATGTCTGTTGCTATTTTAGTTTTTATTTATTTATTTTTTTGTTTTAAACAAACATGTTAATTAACCACATTATGTAATGCTCAGTGACATTTTTGTTGTGAAATATGCTATATCACGTGTAAGGTCGTCTGGGCAGTACTCAAATTTAAACTGCTGAATCAGCTTTTCTGATGCAAAGTGAACACACTACTACTGTTACATATACATGTATACCCTCTTAATGTTTTTAAATTTGTTTATTTCAGGTGTTTGTTGTTTAACGCTATCAGTGTGTTCAGATTTACCATACAGGAAATGTTGTCAATGCAATGCAAAGGCCAACAATTTACAAACTAAAGGTAGAGTAAACCTCTTCAAAATGCTTCATAGTTTGCTTCATTCACAGCATGTTTAAACTATTTCAAAATTGATATTTCATTGTGAGGTCTATATATCAATAGAATAGCTTGTCATCAATACTCATTTCAGATTAGATCGACTCTTCCTCCTTTATGACGTCAATAATTGATCTTGCTCCCAATAATTTGGTGTACCTGGTTTTGAAAAAGAAAAATTTCTAAAACTAACAATACAAAGCAAAGCAAAGTTCATCCAAATTCTTGTTTTTTTCAGTGGGATCATTTTTTGATGAACTTATGTTACAGACCTGTACCTATTGTGATGGTATGCTCTTATAGTGATGTTCGGCATCGACAGGGGAATCGTCATACAGCTCATTCTAACTATATTTTGTATATTATTTGAGAAATAAAATAATTTAAATCCTGGCTTTTTTTTTCTTTTTAAATTGTACAAGGTACATTTGGATTCTGCAAACAGTCTTACAAATGACTGGTTATATAATAAGACCCCCATCTTCCATATAAATCCACAAAGCAATCAACTCAGTATTGCAACAACCAGATATCTTAAAACTGGTTTATTTTAAGCTTTTTAAAAATGACAGTTCTTGGTATAAGCTCTAGTAATTATATTTGTTTTCGATATGGTCTTTGGCCATAAAATCAGAAGACTGTAATAGGTACAAGCTACAATATGACATCTCAAGTATTTACAATAAATACTAGAATAATCAGTTTAAACAATAGTTTTTTTTTTCGGTTACAACATAGTAATATGACGAGTTTGTTCAGTAATATCAATTTCTCAAAAACATTATTTTACACAATTTAGATGCTAACTATTGGATATTAGCAGATAAAATAATGTAATTACAAAGAAATACTGAAGTTGTTTTTCTTGTGAACAGATTTATTCAGATGATGTATGCACTGTTGAGTAAAATTAAATTCACTTGAACATGTAAAATAACATTTAATTAAAACTCATTAAATATGATCAAAATAGTGTAATTGAAGTACTAGGTGATGTCCCAATCTAGCTGAAACTTGTACTGTTTGGCATAATACTTGTACAATTGTTGAGAGCTGTACTGATTAAACATACAGGGTGTTCAAGTAAATAGAAATGTATGGCAAAACTGATAACCGTCATGATAGTAACAACGTTCGCTTGTCCAGATGGAATATTGGTTGCATCATCCTCGTCATCATCCAATTCTGGTGGGGAAG